AATAAACTTTTGGTTGTTAAAAATTTGGTAGGAAATTATTGTTGGAATTTTTAGGTAAAGCTAGTTATAAATATTTCAAGGAACACCCGAGCTGGTCTGGTGATGGTTGAAAGAGGATCTAAAAGTGTACCTTCAATAAGTCCTAGCGAAAAAAAAGGCGAAACGATTACTATAATTGCCTGCTGTAACGCAGAAGGGGTTTATCTGCCTCCTTACTGCGCGTTCAAGGGAAAAAATTCTTGTCTGATGAAATGCCACCAGGCTCACGTGTACGTATGTCAGAAAAGTAAGCAAATCCAGACATTTTCTTGGATTCGCTGCAAAATCACTTCTACCCAAGGAAAAGGTTTTACTCATTGTAGACGGACACACTTCTCACACGACTAACCTCGAGACCTTACAATTCGCAGAGGACAATGACATTTTATTTTACTTGTCCAGTCACACTACGCATTATTCTTCTTCAAGAGCCTTAAATGGCATTATTACGATTCATGCAGGAGAGTGATCAAATGTAACCCCAATATTGGGTTAAATCGGTTGTAGTTCGGCAAATTATTAGGGGAGGCCTGTATGTACGTAAAATGCTTTATCGGCCATTCGGGCAATAGGAATTTGGCCTCACCATCCGGATCAAATACCCGATCATGCTTTTTTAACGCAAGCACCAGGTGAGGCTGCGGTACATCGCACAAAATGTATCCCTCCTCGGGGACGTGGTTCCTCTCAACCACACCCTTCCAAAATGCAGTTAGAAAGTAAGGTTTCCAAAGAACCTCCTAAAGGAAAACTAACACCTGCAAAACTACTTCTAACCAACACACATGACTCGTATTCGCTAGAAGAAGCAAAGACAAAATCAAGCACCTCAGTCATCTAACCAGAAGAAAGGAAAACCTTCCAAAAAGAAAGTGGTTCATCTCTCCTTCACGTTCTAGGAGAGGTGGGCCAATTTAAATTTTTATTATATTATTTTTTATAATTATTCTTTGTGTTAGATTAGCCAAATAAATAACCAAAGCTTATGTTATGCTTTTTTGCAGAGCCTGATTCGAATAAATAAAAAACTTTGTTGACTGCGTAGCGCGGAGCAGTCGCCTCGCGCAGCGACGAGATTGCGAAAGCAATCTTGTTACTTTCGCAAAATGAATGAAATTATATACGCGCCAGTCAACTTTTTCCAGATCTCGGAAACGGTTGGTCCTAGGGGACCGCCATTGGTACAGATCGACTCAGGGTCAAAAAAATTTTTTTTTGTCTGTTTCTCCGTTCTCCGTTCTCTGTATCCGCTAAAACCGCTATAACTCGGCAACCGTTTGAGCTAGAGGGCTGAAATTTTGACCCTTTTATCCTGAAAAAACAATATTCTGAAAACGAAATATGAACCTATACAAACAAAAAAAAATTATATCAACACGAAAACCTTTGAGAGTCCGTCCCCAACGTTCTGTCCTTTAATACCTACCGGACCTGAGCCAGCACGATGAACATTGAGACAGACCATACCAGAGGGGCAAAAACTTTCTTTACGGGTACAAAAAGAGGAAAATTAAAGCGAATAAAAAATTAAACAAATAAGCGATGATATTTTTTACGTTTTGTTAATAAATTTAAATTATTTTACGAGTCATATTTTTATTTTCCCATTCGTCGGAGAGTAAACAAACTGCGGCTAGGTGAAAGCTCGTCGAAGACGTTCCCCAAGAGGGACGGGTCAGAGGTTAACAAACACGAAAATAATTCCATTTTCGCGCCACTCTCGCGGAGTATCATAATGACCGTTAGGTAACCGATTTTCGGTGAGCTCGATCGGTGGATTACCAATCCGGGTTAATCCCGCGAAAGATGTTCGACGGTTGCGTTAGAAAAATTTTCTTTTCTGCGTTTCCGCGTTTCGGAAGACGCGTAAACAAATCACGAGTCCACAATAAAGCGAGACGTCTCCGTACGCGACTTCTCCGATTATGTAAGGCATTTTTTACGCGTAGGATAATATATACGCGGTTGAGAAACGCCGCGCGGCCTTAGGGTGCGTTTACATTGGCGTTACATATGCTACCGGCAAAGTCCGTTATCAGAAACCACAGACTAACGGACGTGTTTATCCAATTACACAGATTCCATCTTTATCAACGGAACGAGATCAACGAATTTGCAATTGTTTAAAATCATCACGTGCAGTTAGAAAACAAAAATGTTTTTTTTCAACTCCCGTGTGTAAAATACCTAATTACACATCGATCTAGCGTGCGGGAAGCGTCACTTTACACGTCAGTTTCGGATGTTACCGCATGGGTTTGGGAGCAATCGGATATTTTCGGAGATATTTTGACGTTCGTCAATTCTGACGGTCATGTCAGTGAATTTATTCTTGTTGTTTTGCGAAAATGTACCCCAAAACTAACGGTCGTAGAAAAAGTATAGTATCCAACACGTTCGGTAAACGTTTTAACTCACTCGTTTATTAAAAACTCGCGAATCAAATGCCGTTTGCCGCACTTGTTGCACAATATATTATTCTTTAATATATATAATAATGTACTTCAAATGTTATTAATTATAAATTACTATAATTTAACTCACGAGTTTATTTGACACGAGCAGAACGCAGCGGAGCGATCGTTTAATAAACGAATGACTTACACACTATACTTTTTCTGCAACAGTTAGTTTTTGCCTACATTTTTGCAAAACAGCCGTGCGGTAAAATCCCGGAAATGTCTAAAGCGGCTCGGATCAGTGCGACAAGAAAAGGGACAATAAAATCACGTGGTAGGGTGACGCTTTCCGCACAACAGATCCGTGAATGATTGGGTATTTATTATATTATATATTTTCTGTAATTGAGTGTAAACCTGTTGAAATAAATTTGCTTATAATTATTATCTATTATTTTATTATTTTACGTTCTGGAACATAAACGTTTTGCTATGGAGAAATTATGCAAAAATGATGAAGTTCCAATGCTTCTTTTTCTGGTTTTGGTTCTAAAGAAATGAATAAGTTTGGAGATGGGTTTGAGCTTCCATAATCTAAAAATTTGAAATGAAATAATCAAAACACACAAAAAAATGTCGCATATAGCAAAACTTTCGACTATCACATTTTCTAAAAGAATAAATAGTAAAATAATAAAAGTAGTAGAAAGGGGTATGGATAATTGCCGTATATTTTGCAAAACATTTAAAATATGAACAACGCTTGCAAATAGTGCAATTTTATTTCGAAAATAATGGTTCTGTGCGGAATACATATCGCCATTTTATCGTCGACAAAATCGTCCATCAGAGCAGTTAATTCGATTAACCATGGAACGTTTTCGCACCACGTTTACTCTTATTGATAACTCGCATCCCCAGAGACGCAGTACGGTGCGTACAGAAGAAGCTATTGCTGCTGTAGAGCATAGCATTGAGGAAGACCCGAATGAGTCCATCCGCCATCGAGCACAGGAATTGGATCTGTGTCCATCCACTTTATGGAAGATTTTGCGGAAGGATCTTGGTTTACGTGCTTACAAAATCCAACTCGTGCAAGAATTGAAGCCAAACGATCATCAAGTAAGGCGTAGATTCGTCGAATGGGCCCAAAACGAGATTGCCGTTGTTCCCGATTTTCATAAGCGAATTTTGTTTAGCGACGAAGCGCACTTCTGGTTGAATGGCTACGTCAACAAACAAAACTGCCGCATTTGGAGCGAAGCTAATCCTCAAGTGTATGTCGAAACACCGTTACATCCAGAAAAACCGACTGTTTGGTGCGCTTTATGGGTTGGTGGAATCATTGGTCCGTACTTTTTCAAAAACGATGGTGGCCAGAACGTTACAGTCAATGGTGATCGGTATAGAGATATGATTACTAACTCTTTCATTCCTGAATTGAATAACTATGATGTCCAGGAGATGTGGTTTCAACAAGACGGAGCAACATGTCACACAGCTCGTGCCACAATCGATTTATTGAAAGACACGTTTGGTGGCCGCCTAATTTCACGTTTTGGACCTGTGAATTGGTCTCCAAGATCTTGTGATTTAACACCGCTAGACTACTTTCTGTGGGGCTATGTAAAGTCATTGGTGTGTGCGGATAAGCCACAAACGCTTGACCATTTCGAAGACAACATTCGCCGTGTTATTGCCGATATACGGTCACAAATGTTGGAAAAAGTAATCGAAAATTGGACGTCCAGATTGGACTACATCCGCGCCAACCGTGGTGGTCATATGCCAGAAATCATATTTAAAATGTAATTCCGCAAGACTATCTTTCGAATAAAAAATATTCATGTCAATCGAATAATCCATCGTTGTTTTATTGCAACGTAAAGTTCAATATATCGAAAAAAAACACCTCTTATAAAAATCTGGAGTCTACAATTTGAAATTAGGATCTTGTCCCAAAATGTATATCATTCAAACAGGTAGAACATTTAGGAAACTCATTAACGAACATAAAAGGGCGTTTAAAAATAAAAGTTCGGATTCTAACTATGGCATTAATTTAAATTCAGAAATGCACAACTTTGACGATAATTTTGATACTTTACGCAATCATTCAAAAAGCATAAAACTAATTTTGTTGCAAGTTATGGAATTTATTACTTAATGACCAATTGGATTTAAATGCGTCGTTGGTAAATTTAAATTTATAACGCTGGTATTAAAAAGCTATTACTACCTGTTTTTATATATGAATATCGGAATATAGTCATATTTTGTATTTGATAAAGACACAGTGTTGCGGAAACAGCTGTCAAACTATTAAAAACTGTGAAAATCTGAACATTTTTTGTTCTAATTTAATTTGTATAAGAAGTTTTGTTGCATTCAATAAGAAAAAGTATTTGAATGATTGTATAGATAACGAACATTTTTCTGTCCACTACCATCGAAATCCAGCGATGCATTGCTTATCTCCGGAGTACCGCCGGAATTCGTGGTACCACCGCCGCGTTAAAGCCTGTAGAAAGTGATCATGCACCTACAGTCGACTGCGGACGTCAGTTGCGACTGGTACACTCTCGAGTACGTCAAGTAGTACCGGAGCAGCGGTACGACCGTCGATCATTCGCAGGTTTTTTTTTCATTAAAGAAAGCGATACGAATCATGGAGTACGGGTGGTTGCGGGGTTTGGTGTACGTCGCGGCTATTTGCAGCGTCGCCGCGACGGACAACAGCGAAGGGCAAGGTGAGTCAAGTCTGGCGGATACGGCGGCCGCGCCACTAACCAATTAGGCGGTTTCGGTAGTTTTTTAGAGAATGTTGAGGAGTTGAAAATATTAATATGAATGAAAAAATTGGGAAACTTGATTTTCGTTTTAATTAGATTTAGTTGGCCACTTCGGAATTGATTGGCACGCATTCGTGCTAATTTACCGCAACCCGATTATGTTTTCGGCATTTATGCAGATTTTGGATACCACAATCTCGAGTTGCATTGGCGTCCGTTGGAAATTTCAAACGGGCGTTTTAAGTTTCCATTGCCTATTTTATCGTCAAATTTCGGTAATGAACCAAGGACTAAAAAATATATGTCAACAATTATCTTTGTTGTTTTTTTTATGTAATTATGAAGCAAAACTTAAGAAAAATAATTAAAAAATAAATTTAATTGGACATTTCAGAGACGTGCTCGGTCAAAGGGATATAACATTATTTTATCCGCATTTTGAAATATCTAGATATATATCTTAATTATCTACAACAAATAGGCTCGCCACTGTTGTTGGACCTCATATAATACTAACTAACGAAATATGCCTCTAGAATATTGCATAAAACCTGAAGGTAGGTGTCAAAACAAGGCTGGACACTCCTGTACAATTTACAATGCTATATGGTATTCCTCATCTGAAGAAGTGTGTTCTTATTGTTGTTAAAGGATATACTATTTGATTAACTGTTAACAAGATCTTTCATTTTTTCTTCTTTGCTAACATGATGGGCTTAATCGAACAGTGAAAGCAATTTTTTGCCTTTGGGTGTAATTCACGGTTATATGGTGCATATTTTGTGACATCATCAACGACTCTGGTTTTCCTGAACTTTTTTCCTGAGGTTCCATTTCACTTGCTGTTCTGTTTTCATGCATTGATGTAATTAAAGTGGTCTTTCCATTTCCCGTCATCCTGCATACACTAAATTTCTAACATATCATTATGTATACTATATACAGGGAGGAAAATATACCAGGCAGTTAGTGAGAAACTTATCGCACTGGCTACGTTAAACACTTCCAATCGATCTTTATTGATCTATAAGGCTTCGTCCTCGAGCGCTCTATCACGATTTTCCTTTGTTTAAATTTAAATAAGCGAGTTTCTCGACCGCGCGGCATTTTTGGAAAAAACCCGCGGATCTTGAGGATAAACGTGTGAAACTATCCGCTCTGAAATGTCAGCGCATTCAAGGCGGAACAAGCGAATACCCCAAAGCGACAGGCTGGTTCGGCCTAGGTCAATGTCTCTCGCCGTTTACCAACAATTGCGAACGTTTTTCCGAAAAACGCAACCCGAATCGTGTGCACCAAGTCGAAAATAGTCCAAAAGTTAATCATTGTGACTACGGTTTAAATCAAAATAAAAAATACATTGAAGAAACAAAGTATTGATTATTAATGAACAGATCTAATGTTAATATTCCTCAAACCATAACATTTTATAAATAGTGTATTATAGATAAATAATATTAATATCAGTTTATTTATTAAAGCATAATGATACAATAAATTACCTTAATCATTTAAACTAAAACTAAAACACATACATACAAATTCTGAGCGAGCTGGCAGATAAGGTAGTAAATAAGAAAAAAATACAAAAAGTTTGCCACAAAGAATGATCCTAAAACCTCACATGCTGTGAACTTTTTTCAAGCTTCTTATGTAGTGTTTTTGAATTATCTAGCAACCCAATTCCATGTCAAGAATATTTTCATATTAATCATATATGGAAAGCAAATGTAAAGACATCTTTATGCTCTGTAAATCCCCAAAACTGACCTGGGTCCGATGGTTTCCTTTCGATATTTTTAAAAGCATGCCCCGATCTCCGTGAGACCCTCGCGTTGCTATCCTGGACTTTGGAAAATCGCCCAAGTCGTTACATAGTATTTACTCCAGAGCAGATTTTTTGTTAATCCTGAGAAATGTCATAAATTACCACAACTGCAAATTAAAAGTTATCTCTACTTAGATAATTATGTACAACTATGCTCTCGTACTCTTCTAACTCTTCAATTATCAGGTGTACCCGTACTTATAACACGGTAGAGGACGCGTTTCTGGATCTTAAACTATTTGCTCTGAGCTTTGAAGTCGTTAAACCACACTTAAGGTGGTATACCAATTAATACACTGTAGTAAAAAGCTCTAATTAGTTGTTCATCTCATTTACCTTGTGAAAAATAATTTAAACTGGTCCACTAAGTATCTTTTTTTATAATAAATAGCACATATTAAAATGTTAATTATTGATTAACAAAGTAAAGTTGGTTATAAATGTTTCGAATTCTTCAAAGGGATCCATTTCCGCACGTTCCATCTTGTGCCTTTATGGCAATTTATTGCAAATAATACTAATACTAATGTGCAATTTATTTTATATACGAATATGCTTTATTGCAGATGGTTTTATTGCAGATTGACTTGATTTTTGAAATAATTTTCCTGTGTTGTTTTCCCACTTTTTCTATGGTGTAAAAATTTAAACCTTTAACCCAATTTGACACTCAACGCGCTCTTTGTTTTATATCCGCTTTATTGCAGATTGCCCAATAATTAGTCATTGGTTAGTTTTCGCAATGTTACTGGAAATAACATTAAATTAACAATTTGTTATATATCCGTTTTATTTTGGATTGGCTAATGCTAAGTGCCTTTACTAATTTTTGAAAGGGGCTCGTTTCTGTTGTTTTCTTGACGTCTCTTTGGTTTGGCAAATAACAACAAATTCTGCAATTTGTGTTATATCGGCTTTATTGAATACTGTCCGATAAATAGACGCCGTCTTATTGCGTATTGCCTAATAAATATTCAGTGCCTTTACTAGCATTACCAGTTATATAATGATGATACAGGTCTACAGTGATTATGATGTTTGAAAGCTGTTTGCTTATTTGCATAATTTTGGGGGCCTTTTTTACAAAAAAATTATTACGTCTTTTTTTTATACGACTGTATATAATAAAAATGTTATTTTATTAATATACATTTTTATGACATAAATATTTTTGTTCCATGATTTTTAGGAAATTAAATATAATTTGGCAACACTGTATAATAAATTCCTCTGGAAGCAACTGAGTTGGCGCAGAAGCGTCAATACAGCCTGCTTATGCGCAGTTTGGTTGTATTGGTTGGCGTGCTAGTGTGTTCGCGGCTGTTGTTGCGTATTTCTAGTGTTGTAGAGCGTGTAAATAAGGAAACAAGACATTGTGTGAACAATCCAAATAAGAAACAAACTGTGTATCCCAATCTTACCTCTGCTATTCAGATGTACCGATACCTACCGCCCCAAAAGGACTAGAAAACGTCATATCGAACGGAATCTGCGGAATCTAATTCCTACCCAGATGGCCCAGGTTTCACAGAGAGTACGAAGTGTTTAACCAAGTTTATTGCACAATGCTAAAGAACTGGCCTCGGTTCCCGTTGCACATTCGGTACATTTAAAAGGAAAAAATTTAGAACTCCTTTTGAAGAAAATCAACTACCAAGAACAAAGTGCAAACTGCTGTAGATGCTCCTAGGACAACAGGGGGGTTATACAAAATTGCAATGCTTTATTTGTGAGTGGGATAGTCGGGAATCAAACAGAATGGCCGTCTAGAACAAGCTTTACACATGGAACCAAAAATGTACTAAGAGATAGCTTAGTTGGACCCCAAAAAAGTTCTACTGCCTTTTCTTCATATCGGACTCGACTTGATGGAGCAGTTTGTTAAAGCTCAAGACAAAAACCGTTATTCCGATATTGGTGCGAGAAATTTCCAGCCATATCTGATGCCGCAGATAAGAACCTTATAGATGTGCCCTTAAAAGCACACAGCCGACAGTCCGGACGACGCAGCTTTCTGGCAAAAAGACGAATATTTCACTCAAAGAAGTCAGAGTAAAGTTTTTTTTTCATAAAAAATTATTTTAGAAATGTTGTTTTCTTTTTCGTTTAATATTTTTAAATCAGCCTTCCAAAATTATGTAAAATCAGTTTTCAAAACGAAAACATCTGTCAAAAACTTTCATTGCATAGACCTGTGTAATTAGCGACTGACTATATTAATTTGTATAAAGGTTTTCTTATATGGTTTTCGTAATTTTTCCATTTTTCATGTCAATCAATTTGCTTGATCAACGTCTTATTGCAGATTGCCTTGTCAGTGGCTAATTTTTCTAATTTTTGTCATTACTTTTTGCTTACGCATCGCAAATTCAAATTAAAATTTGTTATTGACTGCACTAACTTTCTCTGCCTATTGGATACAAAATATACAATTTGTTTTATAAAAATGTATTTCCTTCTATGGTTAGGGTCCTTTCCCTTCTACCGAAGCGACACTATTCTGACGTCACCGCATTAACGTCGAATAGCTCGTGGTCTTCCAAGTAACCGCTCACGTATCACCTTGTTGCTCAACCGACGATTCACAACGCAACCGCGATTTTTTCTCCCTGTCAAATGTAAACAATCGACGATCGAAAGCCGACCGTGATCTGCCCGGAGTCCCGTACCACGTTGAGAAATTATCGTTTTTTTTTCCGGGATCGTGCAACTTAATCGCTACCTATACAACAATCGATTGTGTAAAATAATAGACGAGCGAGCGGTCCTCGAGACGACCGGATCTACGTTCCCTTCGAAAAATTTCGTCGACTGCGACAAACTTTCGAATCCGCCGCCTAAAAAAAAATCTAATCAGCCACCCGAAATATCAAAGCGCCGTTTTTGTCATACTCATTACCCGCAACCGTATGTTAATTTGCTTTCGCCGCCATTTTTCTATTAACAATTTTTAGAATCAGCGCACCAGAACGTGTTGCAACGCGCGCGTTTTTTTTTCTATTAAGAAAATTGCGTTCTTTATTACATTGACCTCGTTTGCGAGCGATCGATTGTTATCAAAATGGCGGTATTGTTTGGGAAGCGGTTTGATCGATATTGTATACCCGGTATACGAAATTACCTGTCGCGT